TACCCTTTAGTTGGCTGGCATGTGCATGGGTTGCTGCTGCATCTTAGCTGCCCTGAATAATGTTGCCACAAACATTTATGTACAAGTTATGGAGTGTGCATGTGGTTTAATTGCTCTCGGGTGTACAACTGGGGTGGAGTTGCTGCTAACTTCATACTGAGCCACCAGAGGAAGGAAATGCTGGGCTGTTCTCCACACTGACGGTGTGCTCTTGCATTCTTAGCAGCAGTACAGTGTGAGTGTGTGTGTGTGTGTGTGTGTGTGTGTGTGTGTGTGTGTGTGCGTGTACACTTTGGAATTCTTTTCTAATTCTGTATGAATTTACTATCAGCTTATTAATTTCTACAGAGTCCACTGGAATTGGAGAGAGGATGTGTTGAATTTGTAGATCTGAATTTGGGGAAGCATTGCTGTCTTGGCAATATTAGATCATTTAATCTGTTTACATGAAATATTTCCCTGGATTTAATTTTTACTTCTATAATCAATGTTTTAAAGTTGTATGTTTTCCATAGACTTTTAAAATTTGTTCCCTCAAATTTTATTATTTTTAATGCTATTGTGAATGAAATTCTTTTCCTAGTATATTTTTGGAGTTTTTCATTGGAAAGATTTAGAAATACAATTGATTTTTGTATATTTATCATGTATCCTGCAATCTTGCTGTGCTTGTTCATTCATTCTAGTTTTTTTTACATGATCATACCATCTATGAATAAATGTTAGTGTTATTTCTTTCTTTTCACTGTTGATCACTTTTATTTCTTGTACTTGTCTAATTATCCTGTCTGGAACACTAACTGCAATGGTGAATTGAAGAAAGCAAGAGGGATTATTCTTGTTTATTTCTGCTTTTAGGGAAAAATCATCCTATTTTCTACCATTAAATATGATATTCGTTCTGAGTTCTTCATAGATTTTTTTATCAAATTGAGAAAATTTCTTTTTAGTCCTAGTTTATTGAATTTTTTGATTTGTGAGTGTTGTGTTTTATTTGAAAGGTTATTGAATTTTCTCCAAGTGTCTTTTTTTCCTGTTGATTGCAATAATCATGTGGCTATTGTCTATTACTTTATTGACAGAACATAGCATATTAATTGTTTTGAGGATGTTAAGCCAACATTGCTTCCCTGGGATGAATCTCACTTGGTCATGTTAATTATTTTTGTTTGTTGCTGGATTTGGTTTCCAGTATTGATGAAGATGTTTGCATTCTCATTCACAGGTAATGGTAGTCTATGGCTTCCTTTCCTTATGATGTCATTATCTGATTTTTCTGTCATGGTAATTCTCAATGCATGAAAGTAGTTGGGAAATGTTCTTTTCTATCCTATTCTTTTAAAGAAGACTTTGTAACAAACTGGCATTGTTTCTTCTTTAAACATTTAGTAGAGATAAGTGTCAAGGCATCTGGGCCTGGGTTTGTGTGTGTGTGTGTGTGGGGGGGGTGTAGTTCTTAGATTGCTAATCAATCTGTTCACCTATGACAGGCCTGTCTACATGGTCTCTTTCTATTTTAACCTCTGTTGACAGTTTGTACCTTTCCGGGGACTCATCCATTTGATCTGTTGTTTTTTCCTATATCCAGGCAATTCTTTTCAGTTCTCTCTCTTGGTTATTTTTATTTCTGAAATACCTCCTTTTCCATTTCTGGCGTTAGTAATTTGAGCCTTCTGTTTCTGTTTCTTGGTAAATCTGGTTAAAATTTTGCCAATTTTGTTGATATTTTCAAGGAAGCAGTTTTGGATCCACTGATCTTGTCAAATTTTTATTTGTGTTATAAATTTGCAACTCACATTTATAGACATTTATGAAATAGAAAGTAAGGTTGTAATTCATGTATATGTTGTGGGATAATTAAATCAAAAAGTTATAGCATTTCAAATACCTTGTGTTTATATGTTGCAAGACAATTTGAAATTTACTATACTATCTATTTTGAAACACACAATATACAGCCAGTAACTATATCTGGCACACCTCAGTAGGTCTGAAAATACTTCCCTCCTGTGTAACTGGGATTTTGTACTGTTGGTCATCATCATTGTCTCTAATCCTACCCCATTGATTTTTCTCTACTATTTTTCTGTTTTCTAGTTCATTGATTTCTGCTGTAATCTTTACTATTTTCTTACTACTGCTTTCTTTGATTCATTTTGCCACCTTTTTATTGTATTTTAAGCTGGAAAGTTAGTTTATTGATTTGTGATCATTCTTTGTTCCTCTAAATAATGCCTTGGCTTCATTCTGTAAGTTTTAGTATATTGTGTCTTCATTTTTATACATTTCAAAATATTTTCCAATTTTCCTTGTGATTTATTCTTTGATGCACTGGTTATTTAGGAATTTTTTAAAAAATAATTTCCAAAGATCTTTCAGTGTTTCAATTTTTCTGATATTGATTTCTGCATTCATTTTATTGTGATCAGAGAATAAAGTTTGTATTATTCCTGTCATTTTAAAATTTGGTTTGGTCTATACTGGACAGAGTTTATGAACATCTGAGACTATTTTTTCTATGATGTTGGGTAGTGCATTCTATAAATATCTCTTGGCTAAGCTGATTTATAGTGGTTCTAAAACTTTTTATTTCCTTGTTGATATTCTACCTGGTTCTTTGATCCACTACTGACAATATGCTATTTAAATTTTCAATTATCATTGTTGATCTGTCTATTTAATCCTTCACTGCTCTCAGGTTTTGAGTCCTGTTTCTTAGTGATCTGTTGTTGGTGAATACATTTGCTGTTCTCTATTCCCCTGTGTACTGACCCTTTTATAATTACACAATGTCCATCTTTATTTCTGGTAGCAGACTTTAAAGATATGTTTTTGTCTGATACTAAAACAGCTACTCCAGCCCCTGGTGGTAGCCTTCTGCCTGATGCACTGTCTATCCTTTTGCTTTCCATCTGTTTATATCCTCGAAGCTGAAGCGTGTCTCTTGTAGACAGCCTATCTTTTGGCTTTTAGAGAATACCAGCAGACATGGCTGCCTTGCTTGGAGGGTGTCGTGCGCTCCTGTTCCGTGCTGATGGTTGCAGTTGGATTCACGGCTGCCAGTTTACTTTCTGCTTTCCACATGTCCTTTCCCCCCATTGATAGTCTCTTCTTTCTTTTGAATCAGGTGAATATTTTCTAAGAGCATTTTTGAATTGCTTAATGAATTTCCATTGTGATTTTGAGTTATTTCCTTAGCAGCTGCTCTGATTCTTCCCATAGGTATTATTAGATTTAGGGAAACCCAGTTCCACTGTGGTATGGAAACATGGTACTGGTACAGCTCGTTGGCCTCTTTCTGAAACACTATTGTTTAAGGTATTACACCTGTAGTTACAGAACCATCAATGCATCATTATAATCTTTACTTGATACAATTTTATGTCTTTTAAATAATCAAAGAGAAGAAAGGATAATTGGTATATATTTCTAGCTTTTGTCATAAAAATCTTTTGATTTATTATTGCTTTTAAAATTATTCTCATGGATTCCAGGTATCATCTTAGCTTAATACAACTTTGCTCTCACCCACCTTCTTTGTTCTATTTTTGAAAAATATATTACATTTCCATTTGTTATAAGCTAAACAGTGTATTTGTGTGTGTGTATGTGTGTGTGTTTGTGTGTGTGTGTATGTGTATATATTTCAGTGTTCTGTTGTTGGTGAATACATTTATTATTGTTATATTTTATTTATGTTTGAACTTTTTATAATTCTACAATTTACACAAATTATATGATTATATAATTTCCTGTTTTCTAATATATACACATACCTGTATGTTCAAATATATGTGTATATATGTGTATGTTAATTCCAACTGCTTCTTAAATCAGTTAAAAGAAAAAAATGGCATAGATGGTGCTTTTTAATCTCAAATAATCAGTTTATCAATCCTCTTTGTTCTATTACATGGATTCACATTATTGGCTGGGGCCATTTGGTTTTTCTTGAAGAACTTCCTTTTTTTTATTTTGAAAGTAGGCCTTCTAGAAGCAAAATTTCCTCTGGTTTGTTTTCTGGGAATATCTTTATTTCATATTCATTTTTCCAAGACAGCTCACTGCTGGAGACTTGGTTGGGTTTTGCTGAGCCTTTTGGGTGTGTGGTCCCACTTCCTGGAGGCCTTAGCTGTTTCTTAGGAGGACTTGGCTGTTAGTCTCACGGGAGTTCACCTGTGAGGGAGGAGAGGGTCTTCCTTGATGCTTTTCAAATTTTCTACCTGTTTTTGACTTTCAGCCTTTTTACTATGACTTTTCTTTCCCTTTCTTTTCTCTCTTTTTAAGCTCTCCTTACCTTTCTTTACTGGTTGTTGGTTGATCTTTATATGTCTATGTTAATGTTTTCAGTAGATTTGAGGATTTTCCAGTAATTATTGCTTTGAGTATTTTTCTTTTTGGTTCCTTCTTTTCCTCTACTTTAGTTATTCACATTACATGTGTCTTGGTGCATTTAATGGTGCCCCACATTTTTCTGAGTTTATTCATTTTTTAGCATTTTTTTCCTCTGTTCTTTGGACTGCATAATATCTAAGAACTCTTTTTTATGTTTGCTTATAAGTGTCTTCACCAGTTCATATCCATTGTTGAACTCCTCTAGCAAGTTTTTCAAAATTTTTTTCAGTTACTGGAATTTCAATCTAGAGTTTCCATCTGCTTCCTTGATTTCTACTTACTGATGTCCTTGTACCCATGTTGAATCATTGCCCCGTGCTTTCCGTTTTAAATTGTAGTTTCCTTTAGCCTACTGAATGTTCCAATGGCTCCTTGGAAGTCTTTGTCTCCTAGCTGGTCCTCTCACAGGCTGCTGGCTTTCCCTATTTTTAATTTTTTGGTGCATGGGTCAATTGTTTTCTTCTGTCTTGCATGTCATATGATTTTATAAATACATGTAGCAACCCTAGGTATTGTCACCCATCCAAGGCTGGTTGCTGTCATTTACTTTGATTTATTTTAATGACTAGAGGTATTATTTAACAAAGTCTGTTTTTCTATTGCAGGATGAAACCTCTGGTACCTGCTTAAAGCCATTGGCTTGGACCTGCCCATAGTCACTGTGGATGACAAGTATGGGCAGAATTCTCTGCCTGACCACAGCCAGCTGTTCATCTCTGCTAACTGCTCACTGAAGGACCTCCTGTGTTCATCCCTGCCTTGGGGTATGTGCTGCACGGACTGATCCAATCCAATGTGCTCTCCTCGAGGCGGCAGTCCCCAGGTCAATGTTTGAGATTTGTTTTGATCCCAGAAGGTTTCCTCTGAGCTTCCTCTTCTCTTTGCTTCCAGAAAACTAACCCTGCAGTGAGTCCACTGTTCTCCCCTCAATTGCTTTCACCGCAGCCTCCAATGTTTTGGAAATCAGCCTTAGGTTTGAGCTTCTCTATGTCCTCTCAGCTCTTTGGGGACGTGGAGCCCTTGGTTGCAGGCCTAGTTCTCACCCTCCACCATAAAATCCCTGACCCATGTCTGGAACTGTGGGAGACAATGGCAAGTGTCTCTGCCACCGGCGTTAGAAATAGTGCTTGGCCTAGGTGTGTCCAGGGGCTTCCGGCTCTGGCTTGCCTCGACCACCATGTGACATCCAGCTATGTGCCACGATAAGGGCCCGCAGGCTCTGGGACTCTCAGCAGTACACCACACAACGTGGAGCTCTGTGCCCAGTGGGGGCTGGACACCAGGGTGCTCTGCTTGGCTTCACTCACTGAGAATGTGGCCTCAGCAGAATGTCAGTGCAGCAGGAGGAGAAGTGCTGGTTTTCTGACCCCTGGGGAGGCAGCCTGTGACTCTCTACAGTGAAGTTGTCACCCAGGGAGCCACCAGGTGGAAGGAAGGAGCGCAGTCTTGACTTGAATGCCTCAGCCTGTTGCTGCTCTGATTTAATTTTAGTGTGTGTTTAGAATAACTGTCTCTTCATTTCCTGTTTACATTTAGAATCATTTCTACAGACATTGTTGTTGTTTCTAATGAATTTTTTTTGCCAGTTTCACGGAGGGAAAAAAAATGAAGAGTTTCATGCACTGTCGTGCTGGAAGTGAAACTTTCTAACAAGTTTTAAAATGCTTCCCTTTGCCTATTTCTGTAGGATTTGGGGATGTGTTGAACATGCTTCACTCCAGTTGTCACATTGGCTTAGGGAGTAAATAGGATAACGCTTGAAAAGGTCTGTGAACTGCAGGAACAACGTGTCTCAGTTAAATTCTACCCCTCACTGTTTGTCGTGGACGAAGCGTTGCTTAATTTCCCAGCCGGTGCAGCCCTCGGACCTCCCAGGGAGGTGTCTAGTGCTGGGCCTCTCGGGCTCACAGGCACAGGAGCTTCGGGTCCTGCAGTAGCATTCCCCTCCTTGTGTGGGTGCTGCTTGGCTCCTGTGCAGGTCAACCTTTGTTCAACTTTGTGCCCACCCATCCTGTCCAAGTGACAAAGTGACAGAGGTGAGAGCGGTGCCTTCTTATCTGGGGCCTCCCCAATGGAGGTCAAGTGAGGAGAGAGGGAAATGCGGGTGGTTGGTAGACTGCCAGTGGTGTTTGTCCCAGTTTGTTCTCCAAGGAGAAAGCTGCTTTTGTAATTTCCATTATTTGGATGTCTACTATGCACCAGGATCTCTGCCAGTTTTAAGAGGGGCTACAGACACTTTTATGATGTGATTCTTGCTTTAAAATAATTCTAGACAAAAAGTCAGTTATGGGGCTGGGATGTGGCTCAAGCGGTAGCGTGCTCGCCTGGCATGCGTGCGGCCTGGGTTCAATCCTCAGCACCACATGCAAACAAAGATGTTGTGTCCGCCGAAAACTTAAAAAATAAATATTAAAAAAATTTTCTCTCTCTCTCTCTCTCTCTCTCTCTCTCTCTCTCTTATTCTCTCTTTAAAAAAACAAAAGTGGTAAGCAAGTGAGGGTCATCTTGGGCGCTTCATACCCCAAATAAACTGTGGTGGATGTGTGATGATGGGATGCCCAGGGAGAGGGTAGCGGGAACACAAAAGAAAGAAATGATGTCTAATCCTGCTCTGTTGTGAATTGGCTGGTGTTCCCCTGCCTCTGGTTAGAACATCATTTCCTAAACTTCAAGAAGGAAGTACTAAGGTAGACGGTGCCCAAGGTCTTTTCCATTTTAAATTTTTCCATAATAATTCAGGCGCTCTTTTGGTGGCTCAAATGTGACATAATATCCCCCTTCATATTCATCCCAGCTGTTAGAGTTTGAAAACGCTGTGTTCAGTGAGATTGCCAAACACATTTCCTAGTGTCTAAGAGGTGTTTGATAGACTCAGAATGTTGGCACGGTATGGTAAATATTTAAATGGGATCTTTGTGCTAAGTTGTTCTGTCCTGTGGTAAGCCATTACCCTAGTTCAGTAAGGGCCATTGAGGGACTAGCTGCACCAGGAGTGAGACGAGGCAGGGACTTGCAATCTTTCGGAGATGCAGATTGGAGAGTGATCAGAGAATGGAGACGCGCAGCCTGGGCCTGCCGACATGGCACCTGAGACGGATGGCCACCCAGGTCCAGAGGTGACACTGCTTTTTAACAAAAGGGATCAGTAATCTTGAAGGAATCTAGCATGTAATTCCAAGCGTAAGTTTCTTATGAGACTGGCAGTTAGAGAAGAGAAAGAAACATTAATGCACCAAATGAATAGTGACCTCCATCCCCACAAGATACATAGCTTGGGAGCTCACTCGGCAAGCTCGGACTTGTTGCTCTGAAGTGTTAGTGGGGGCGTTATATTACGAGGTAATTATGAAGATGAGTGTGCGGAACAAAGAGTGCCTACCAAAGATAACGTTATTATTTTAATACCTGTGGCAAGTGCATGTTTCAGGGTTTAAAGGATCATTGTCATTTCCAATGTTCTTATAATCCTCCTGCCTAATTCAGACTTGTTGCTGATTTTCTGTTGAGAATCATGCACGATAGGTTAGGAAAAGATTAAATGCAGAGTGAGTGGAATGGATAAAAGCACCCAGTATAATGAGTTTTAGATAATACTGTTGAAATGAGAATGTAAAAGTCGAGGTGCCAGTTTAAAAAGCATTAGATGCATGTATCATGAGAAAGAAGGTGAAGGGCTCTGGCAGGTGTCTCTGGAAGATAAGTTATGTCACACGCAAACATTTTTTGCATTCATGAACAGGAAGCAGCCAGTGTCACGGGAAACATGGGAGGAGAGAGTGCAGATGGAGGTCCCGAGAACACCACAGGGTCCCTGCTTGGTTGGGGCTTGCAGGCCTTATCTTTGCTCCTTGATATTCTGTGGTTAGGGGTAATGACGGTGTCCAGCAGGGACAGACGGGTCACACTTGGCTGTTTCTTTGCTTGTTTCATGCATTTTATTAAAGACTGAATATTTTAGGTAATGCATCCGGGTTTTTGCTTTCCCCCACATGTCTTCCCCTCTTCCCATTCATTTCCTCTCTGGACTTCTCACCCCTTTTTCTTTCACTTTCTTCCAGAGGGAGTTATTTTTTCTTAATCCTGAAAGTTTCCTCTACTATTTCTTATCAGTCAGGTTTGCTGGCATGTTTTATTTGCTGATTTTTTTTCTGTTTTCTTATTACCTTTTCCCCTCTCTGATGCTGCAGTCTAACCCTTTCTATTGACCTTTCTTCAGTTTTATAAATGTCATATTCTGCCACTCTAAACTTACCGTTAGATCCATCTAATGTGTTTTTAATTTCAGATATTACACTTTACAGCTCTAACTTGCCCATTTAATAAGTTTACATTTTCTATTAAATGTTAACTCATTGAGTCTTTTCTGTCCATTTTCCTCCTATTATCTTTAGTATATCATTTTTTTTTTCTGAAGTTCTTGTAATCCCTCTCACAACTGGGTCATGTATTTGTATATTTCTACTAATAACATCATGAGATGATCATTCATTTTTTCCTGTTGATTGTCTTTCATTTATGTTAGACATTTTATATAACAAGGCTTTTCTGACTTATCATTTCCTAGCGGATATATATATATATATATATATATATATATAATGAGTTTTAGATAATACTGTTAAAATGAGAATGTAAGAAAAAAACAATGTCAATTTTCTACCTGACCCACTTTAGGTCTGTGGCCGCCCATTGTAGTCTTGTCAAACCTGTCTCCGGCTCTCGTAGAGCAGATGTGCCTCAGTGAAACTTTGTCATGGAGTGTGTCACCCCTTCTCAGCCTGTGATTATCACCGTGTGACATCACCTCTGCATGGTCACAACTGAAGCTGCGGAGTGTTTGCAAGGTCAGCGTTTGGACGGGCGCAGAGCCCTGCATCTCTGTGGGGTTGGCGATCTTGGAGCCTTGGTTGAACACTCAGGAGAGCTCTCTTCCTGGCCTTCTGGACCTTGCCTGTGTGTGTGGAAGGAAATGCACTTGGTGCAGGTTTCTTTGTCATCCTTCTCCGCAGCCCACCCTTCTCCTTTAACCTGCCTCCGACATCATCTCAGATACATTACTGCCCCGAGATCTGAAGTCCGATTCTCCCAGCAGACTCTTGTTCTCTCTCTGGGCTCTCTTTCTCTGCATGTCCATTTGGAAAATGCTCCAGGGAGAAAGGAGAAGTGAATACAGGGCTTATCTCCTGGAGTTTCCTTCTTGGGAGAAGAGTAGCTCAGTGTTGGCTGGTGCACAATGCTTGGAGACCATTGTTTTCTGTGTCTTGTTCACATATTCTTCACTGAGCGTAGAGGGGGGTAAATCTGATCCCAGCTCTTCTGTGAAGGCTCCACAATTGGCATTTAACACCACGAGATTGGGGGAGATTCCCCAGTTAACTGGAGTCAAGAGCACAGGACGCAGAATGAAGCCTTGGAGCACTGCCATTTAGGAGACCTTGAGGATAAGAAAAGAACTGATCCAAAGAAACTGAGGAGAGCGATGGGAGGGATAAAAGGGAAACAAAGAGTGGGGTGTCCTGAGAGGCTCGGGAATCTCTCACCGAGAAGATGTGATCTACCAGTTCAGATGTTGCTGCTAAATCAATAAAATACGAGAACTGAGAATTAACCGTTTGACTTAGCAACTAAACCCGTGCCATTAAGTCAGCCTCTGGTTCCCAGATTATAAACAGTAGACGACATTCTTTTTTTCAACAAAGGGCTCTTTTTATTCCTTGTCCGATGCAGCTTAAAGGGTAGGAAATGGCCATGTGCTGAAAAGTGCCCATAGATACTCGAATAGCTTTGAAGTTCAGGGTCTCTAGAATTGTTCCAATCCTTATTTTGGAAATTAGTGAGGACACATTTTCCCTTCATTTTTCTGTAATCCTCTTTTAAACTTTTATTTATTTCTTCTTTTATTTATTTTTGGTATTGGGGACTGAACCCAGGGGTGCTTAATCACTGAGTCACATCCCCATTGCTTTTAATTTTTTTATTTTGAGACAGGGTCTTGGTAAGTTACCTAGGGCCTAAGTTGCTGAGACTGGTCTTGAACTTGGGATCCTCCTCCTCTGGCCTCCCAAGTTGCTGGGATCACAGGTGTGTGCCACCACACTCAGCTTCTGTAGAATTCATTGGCCACCCATGCTGACCTCGGAGGTGTGATGAGCCAGCGTGCTTGTGGGAGAGTTTTCTGCAACTCTGGTAGGCAGGACCCACGAGCCGTCTTTTGATTTCCCTGGGCCTCACTGCTGCACTCCAGCACTCAGAACAGTGTCCGCTCCACAGAAGATGTTAAATAATAACTCAAATGTGTTATTACAAGGCCGCAGTCCTTCTGATTAGGGGCCTTTTCAGGCAGATCAACTGAGAGTGTAGACTGCACCAGGTGGACTCCCAAGTCACGTGTCCCTGGGACCAGGGCTGGAGTAGGTCCCCACCATCAAGGATTGCAGGTTGGCAGAAATGGAAGGAAAATGGAACTCCTTTTGTTCCCACGGCGAGCTTTGCTCATTCTTCTCTTCTAAAAATTAAATCGTCTTCTGCCGGAGACAATTTCTTCCTGGTAACTATCTGTCAAGCAGGTGAACAAAAATATAAGCCATAATTATGTTCCTAGCTTCAGCTCTGGCACTCAAGTTAATCTAAAAGGCACTGAGGTTCTTAGGGGATGTTGTGTAACCAGGGCCTCGATTCAGCCTCCTGCTGGGTTTTGTTCTCCTGAAGTTCCATCAAGGAGTGTGACTAGGTGACTGAGAACGTGTTGCTTTGCCCCATGTCTACAAGAGCGAGGCCTTGAAGAGCCCCGCATTTGTCAGATGAAGCTGTAATCAGACGACACTATTTTTAGGTCCCGTTCATAACTCCACGGTTGAGCGTTGGGGTGGTGCAGGTGAGATGCTGCCTTCTGTTTCCCCAGAGAAGGGCCCAGGAAAGTCGCACCGGGAAAGTCCCGAGTCCTTTGGACATGAGCTGTGTGTGTGAATCCACAGCAGACGGTCCCGCCCCTCCTCACTCCATAGCTGTTTCATCTTTGCTACATCAAGGCCCAAGGCCTCCATGAGAGTCCAATGGGAGCAAAGTCCAGCTGTGACAGGGCCCTGAGGAGTGGACAGTCCAGTGGGCAAAACAGGCACTCATGGCAGAAACAGCACAGAAGCTAGGAGAGTTAAACAGTTAGAAATGTTGCAGGTGTTTTAAGCCACACCCACATCTTCTATCATGGTGTAGGAGGATTTCCAGTCACCGCTCTGTTGAAGGAGTTTACTGACAGAATGATGTTAAATGGTTGGTGATACATGTAACATACCTGCAGAATACCTGTGTTTAGTGGGTGGGCAACAGATGTCAAGTTTCACCCCAGCCTCCATCCTTTGCCATAGGCAAAAGTCAACCAAACCCTAAATAAAATAAAATAAAATTTAAAAACCCAACAAACCCTGACCTACGATCTTCCCACATCTGCTGTTTCTGAAATTCTGAGTGATGCTCAGCTGTTAAGCATAGGCTCGGTCAGCTTTGTGGTGAAGAGGTCACAGTGGGACTTGTTTGTCACTCACTGAGCTGAACATCCTAAGGTCCTGCTGCTTCATGTCAGTGGAACTGAGAGGGAGGCCCTTCCTGGCTGGACATTGCCTTGCAGCTATGTCCATGGGCACTTCTGAGGGTTCAGGCACAGATTTTGTGTGGATTTAGGATTCTTTACAAGAATGTATGCTCTACCTTCCTACCTACTTACCCATCTGTCTCTCCAAGGATCACTAAATTGCAGTTTCAATTTCTAATGTGTTTTCTCACACCACAATCTAAGCTCTGCCTACCTTCCCTACCTCTCTTTCTTCTCCCTATGTTCCTCTTCCTATGCTGAATTCACTCAATGAGTTGGGTATTACAGCCCAAGAGTCCGTGACACTTAGTGTGCTTCTTCTGACCCTTGGATTTAGATCTCTCTGTCTTGGAACGTTGTTCCTTTCTTCACTTCTCTTTTCTTCCCTTTCCTCCCCTCCCTCCCCTCCCCTCCCCTGCCCTCCCTTCCCTCTCTTCCCCTTCCTTCCCCTCCCCTCCCCTTCCCTTCCCTTTCCTTAGCTTTCCAGAAGAGTGACATGGGAGAGGGAGCACACGCCCATGTTTTGGAGAAACCCTGTGTTCCTGAAGGGATGTTTTGTGTAGGGTGGGGGTCTCAGGCCAACTTGCCCTGTGCAGGGGAGATGTGGTTGGCGGTCCTCAGTGTGGGCTTTGTGTGCTGAAGTCTGAAGATCCCGGGCCTTGGGGCAGCATGTATTGAGAGCGTCTTGTTAGAGTCACAGCGAACCATACACTGGGTCTTTTTTTTTGAACATTACAAATGACCTATCCCATTATGGCTCACAGAAGTGGATTTTAACTCGAACATGCTCTGGGGCAGAGTAGGGAGCAGGGAGGGGGAGGGGATGTGCATCCAGGAGGGGATGTGCTCCTCCCTCTTCAGGGCTGGTGGTAGCCGGGCAGGACTCCAGGCTACAGTGCTGTGGGAGGGTACTCCTAGGAGGAGGGAGGCATCGTTGTTGGGGTGGGCATCTGGACAGAACCAAGGAGCTACTACTAGAGAGACGTCAGAAGCCCTGGGAGGAGCCACTTTTAATGACATCTGTCAGATGATCTTTGGTTTAACCCCATTATACATTTGCCGCCTGAACATGGTGTTTGGACCCAACAGAGCTATGGAGGATGAGGGGAGCGGGCCTCTTCCCAAAGCTGGGAAGGGTTGCCTACACGGCCCCAAGGCAGGGGATGTGGGAGCCATGGCCACCAGGTAGCAGAGTCAGTACATGATGCTGTGAGGCCGCAGACACTGGGCCTGGGGCCAGGGCGTGTTTGAGGAGCCTTTCAGACACCATTTTATGGGAACCTTTGAGCTCTAATGTATGCTGCACTTTGCCCATCTCACGTGCAGAGCGCCATGGGTTTGGAAGTGTGATGCTGACACAGGGCACCGCCTCCATTGCCAAGCCCCTTGCCCTCTGCAGTCAGAATTCTCCTGAAGTAACACGCCTGGCCATTGGTCTGTGTCTTTACTGGGTGTCAGTTTGAGTTTTCTTAGAGTGTCACATAAGTGCAGCGATAGGGAGAGCTGCACTCGCCCTGTAGCTTTGCCAGAACTGGTGCTATCGCGGTCTTCTGTCTCCTTAAAATTTATTGTAGTTATTCTGATGGATATGCTTGGGGCTACTTTGAATTTACATTTCCACTGGCACATACCTATAATCCCAGCAAATCAGGAGGCCGAGGCAGGAGGATGCCAAGTTCAAGGCCAGTTTCAGTTACTTAGTGATAAGCAAGTTTGTGAGACCCTGTCTCAAAATAAAAAATAGAAATGGCTGGGGATGTTGCTCAATGGGTAAGCACCCCTGGCTTTAATCCCTGCCACCAAAAGAGAAAAAAAAAAAAAAGAAGAAGAAGCAGCCTGCATTTCCTTGGCACACTGTAATCTATTGATCAGGCCAGTGGGGACCCCAGGTAGTCACAAGGTCTTCATGAAGACCTGCTGTCATCACATTTTACAATCACAGCATGATGAAATGGTGACACACTGTCTTCACCAAGTAACGATTTTTCTGTTTAAAATAAATATTCAGAGAAACAGGGGCTCAATTGTTTGCTCCTTCCCCATATCTCCTTCTTTCTGTTCCATATGGAGATTGGGGGAAAAAAAATGGGCCATTTTTGTCAAGAAACAATAATTCAGTAGGTGGTAAAGCTGAGGTCACTCTTCCTGGTAATGGGGTCTGGGCACTGCAGGCAGAGAAGCTGCTAGTTTTCTTGGTCGTCCCTGTCACTCCAGAGTTATTCTGGAAGGTTTTGCTGGACTGAGGTTTCCAGGCTGCTGAGACGATAGAGATGTGAGGTCTATTACAGCCACGCTGCCCATTTAGCAATAATTTAATAGCTTGGGGAGAGTTGAATGAATTCCCAGATCCTTCAGCAGAGTAGACATTCTTGCCAGAATTTGATGGGGAGAAGTTTCTCAGAGAATTATAAAACATTGTCCACAGTGCTTGGATGCATTATTATTATTATTTTGTAGGAATTTAGTTTAAATAAAAACCAGATTCTGTCACCTCACTGTGGCTTTAGTTGGAGTAAATATGCATTCACTTGGGGCTCATCAAATCATCAATTTTTTTCTCTTTTTTGGGGGTTGGGGGTCCAAGGCTGGCGGGAACTAAATCCTTAGAAAACAATGTTTGGAAAAGCACTGCAAATCTGGCTTGGTCTTGGTTTTAGAGCGTTTTAAGAAAACATTATTGAGCACAACAATCCTCAGTTAGAATTGCCCCGTGGGGAGGTGCAAGCCATGTTAGACAGAAGTCAGATGATGCTGGATTTGTTCTTCTCGTCTGCATTCATGTGGTCACTGCCAACCCTTCCATAGCGCTGGAGAGTCCCCAGCGGTGGGATATGGGGAAGTGTTCCACGCAAAGGGGTCACTCACAGCCAAGAAACGAGCAGCCTGTCTCTGAAACAGGATCCCATCCGAAGCACATGCTCACGTTTCCACAGCCTGCCTGGTCCGCGTCACAGCTGGGGACCTGGAGGTCA